TGTGTGTGTGTGTGTGTGTGTGTGTGTGTGTGTGTGTGTGTGTGTGTGTGTGCATTCTGTATCTAATTATCTTGACATACTTTTACCTGTGATGCCACAGTGCATGTGTGTGTTGCTCTAAGACCGTGGGAGAGGGAGGAATGGATCACTGACTTCCCTGGAATCTGAGTAGGCCTCGTCCTGACAGGCTGGAAATATGTGTTGAAGTCAGCCAACATGCTTCATTTTCACATCACAGCTCATTTGTTGTGTTTTTTTGTCAATAGTACAACAGCTCTTCATTGAATGGAAACCGCTTGTTTATTTTTCACTCATAGTTCTCTTGGTTCACATCTGGACTGTAAAGTTTGAGCTGTTGCTGCCCTTGTCAGTTATGCAGACTTGAGCATCTATACAGATGTCTTTCCCCTTCGGTGTGTTAAATAGTCGCCCAGTGAACTGATAAGCAACCCCCTTTTTTAGAACAGATAAGCAAAGCACTGAACTCTGGCACTCTCAGTACTACTGACCCAATTTTTCAAAGTGCAGTAAATGAGTCTACAGCTAATTAAGTGAAGAGTAGCTTGTTCGTTACAGTTTTTTTTTCTTTTTCTCTGTCCTGTGTCCTTGTGTTAATCTGAAATAAGCCTGATGATCAGTTCATCTTTATCTTATTTTTATTAATAAGCTGAATACAATTGGACTTTGACTGTTGGACAAAAATGATTAATCCTAAGTCAATGTGGGTTTTGGGAAACTATGATGACAATTTCTCATTATTTTTTGACGGTTTATTAATCAGTTATAAAGAAAATAATTAAATGAATACTGGAAATAGAGGAGGTGTATATATTTTCCAAAACCACGGTTTAGTCCAGGTCTCAGTTTCTGAGCCTCAGTTCATAACTTGCTTCTTTTCTTTGTGGCATTGGCAGAGAATGATAAAAATACTCCCACGCTGCTGATTTGCATGTGCCCAGTGGAGTCTGCAATCTCGTAGGTTTATTATACATGCTGAGCTAATTAAACATGCCAAACTTTTACTGTAGGGGTCCATCATAGTTGGACAAAAATAGTCGCATGACACACATGCAAGTTGGAAGACAAATAGTTGTAATGTGTAACCTTTACAAAATGATTTTCAAAATGTACAGATTGCGATACCTCGACTTAGAGTATCGGCCAATATCAAGAACCCATCCAGTACCATTGCATTTAAAAAAAAAGAAACTTATAGAATGTATTTAAACAACTGTATGCTACTCCTGTATAAAGGTGATGATTGCTTTCATTGCTGCATGGTCTGGCTCAGGATAAACAAATACATACAGTGAATGAACGCCATAGAACTTCTTTAAATATCTAGTTAGAAAGTCATAACTGAAAAATAACAGAAATAAACGAATCTAGGAATACACAACTTTACTTCCTTGTAATAGCTGTTCAAGTGCAGCCACAATTTATCAAAATAAAGTCTTTTAGAGTTTAACAAGTACAGTAACTGTATAAAACCGTGCTGAAGGCTCGAGGTACACGTCACCGTTTGTGAGACTTTCCAGTGTCCATCTAGTTTTCAGATATTGGTATTGTAAAATCTCTAGCTTGACTTATACTTAGAATTATAAATAATGTGGCTCAGGCAGTCAACAGGTTTGCTAAAAGGGTTCAGGCTCTGATTTGCTGCTCCTCTTCACCATGATGGCATGTGTGCCAGCTGCAAAAGCTGGCAGAGTAAATACTGTCTTAACTTCCTTCCTCCTCTCCTCCTCACACTTTCTAAATGCGGTAGAACGGGTGCAGCTTTGACATCTATCAGCATAGTAACCACGTTTCCTGCCACCACTCAGCGCCGGTGGCCAATAAATTCCCATCGATAATCAGTGCAGATGCCTTTCACCTGTATATACCCTCCCCCGTCCGCCACTGAAACGTGGAAAAATGGAAATGGAAAAATGATCCAATTACTCATGCTACAGTCTGTCTCTGTTTTGATCTTCCCACAGTTACAGCCGTGATGTGCTCATAATAGGCAAAGTCATCATATAGCGTCTTCTCATAGTCATGGGACAAATGAGTAATGTCTACTTTGTTTTTCTCCAGAAATGACCTCCTGATATTTTCTTTCTATCAAAACCAAGTACTTTTCTGAAACCCCTTTCACTCAAACAATCCTAGGAAGCCCTGCCCTTCAATTCTCAGGAGTGTGTTTGGGTGGCATTATCCTTATTGCAGTGACCCTGCCACCCAAGGGATCGCAGAGGTTGTATATAATTAGACTAGCCAAGCGGGACAATAGCACATGCAATGTTAAAGCTGACTTATTTGGATGGAGGATATTGAAAGGCAGTTTACATGCATGTATTGTATTTCCTGCCTGCAAAAACAACAGATGTATTAGTCTGTCTGTATGTGTGGTTTTGAATATGCTCAACAACACTTGCTTGTGTGTGTTTGTGTGTGTGCTATATTAACAGGAAACGATGTTGTGGCAAGGCAGTGTTTGTAGGCAGGACAGACAGACAGATAGATAGAGGGACATTAGACCCGCAGCTAAGTGTTCCAAGCAACTCACTCACCTCTATTGCGAGATAATAGCCGGGGCCAAGAAATAACTAATTTCGAGGCTTGTGCGCGTCAGTCAGTGCCCCAATGTGTGGCGCCTTTGTTTTTAAGAGAGATAAATGGTGGTGTAGCAAGATGCTGGGAGGCAAATACTGAAAAATCAGCAGTGTGTGGGGGAGCTGTTTGGGCTACATTCACGACAGCTCTGTGTTATTTCTGTCTGTTTCTTTCCAGTCTCTCTACAGTTTTGCATTATAATCAGTGGCTCCACTCCTGTGGAGGCTGTGTGTCTGTGTCAAGCTGGGATTTTCTATCCATCTAAATCTATTTTCAAATATCCCACTTTTGGAGAATCTCATTGCAGAGAAGAACCGTCCATCTGACAGTGTCCTCAAACAACCTCTCAGCTCTTTTCTTTCTTGGCTCTAATTGGTTTTTCTATGTACGATATTCATAATGGACTCTGTGGTTGAAATAAAGCCAATGTTGCCATAGTTACATCTACTTATGATGAAAAGAGCTAAAAAAAAAAATTGAGGGTTTTTCAAAAATGTGAAATATTGATGCAAGAGTTATGGGGGGTGGGGGGGCGTGAGATTTAAAAAAAAAAAAAAGCCCAATCGATTGATCACTAAGCATATACGAATATGCAGATACATATCTCTACCTGTGTCTTTGTTTGACAATACTGTTATTAACAGAATAAACAACCCAGGAGACTTGTTCATTTATGCATTTAAAAAAATTATAATCAGGTTTAAGTTAAAATGATTATTGTTCTGAGCATTGATGTACTAAATATCATTAAGGGGTGACATTCAATTAAAGATGTCGAGTTGAATTACAGAGACAAGAAAAGAAGCTAAATAAATATCATTAAAAAATCTTTGGATTAGAATTAGAGGAATCAAGACGATTACAATATAAAGTAAATCCAGTTATTTGAGATATTAGTTAAAACAACTCCAAATTTAAAATAAAAAGACAGTTTCTTAAATGTCCAATAGGGAGAAGTATACTCAAGAATGTGCTGTGTTTTGTTCCACAATTCAGATGCACTAAAAAAATCAAGTTAGTGGGCAGCTGCAACAAGCAACTTTCACAAGCCCAACTACATTAGTTTAAGGTACTAAATGCCTAATTATTCCAGTTTGCATCATAAAAGTGTGTCATTAGTACTAATTGTGGAGTAATATCTTCCAGGCATAATACAAAATGTTTTACACCCAGTGTGACTTACTCTTTCCAAGGATCACGATGTGCATCAAAAAAAAAAGGCAGTCTTCTCTTATTTTTAGAACTTGCCTGAGAATCGTGATGCTTGTGATTTCTTCAGAATCAGTAGAGTCCATTGATGGGACTCTGCAGTGCACATCCATGGTACATAACAAAATGTTCTGTATTTAGTTAAGTTATGTTAATAATTAGTACTTTATATTGTGCTGCTTTGCAAAACCATGAGTAAGTGCTTCAGCCTACATCAGAGTAACTCACTGAATCCATAGCAACATCCTCTCAATCATCCTTGTAGCCTGCACTCAAACCAAATACACAAAGAATATTAATATAACACAGCAATGTTTCTTGTGCTGTTATTGGTTTTTTTGTGTTTGATATTAAGAGATTAAAGGGAATGGTTATAAGTAGAAGTAGACCTTATTGACCTTAAGAGAAAAAGAAAGTGTCACATAGGACAGGTTGAGTGTCTAATGATAGCTGTATATTGTTTCCTTTTTGTCAGAGTTTCCAAGGAGAGCTCCCCCTGTCCCTTTTTTCTTTAAAGAAGCTCTGTCAAATGGAACAAAGGCTAATCCTTATGTCATCCTCATAGAGCAGCTGCTAGTGCGCCATCCTACTCAATGTCAAAACAGGATGAACCATACCCAGCCACTTCCACTAATCAGCCTGCGGATCATCTGCTGTCACTGGATGCTGAGGCAAAGGAGGAGGTCGGAAGGAAACAGTCCTTTTAGTATTCAAAGTAGATCTGATCCATTGTTGTGTTTTTATAGAGGAGGAGGAGAAGAAATTGTCTTAAATTCAGAGTGGATGAGACAAAGAAGAAGAGTAGTCTGTGGGTGGATATTCTTGCATTGAATTTCTTTATTTCCTGTTTCAAAGAATCAGATTGGCAATGCAAACTTTGCACA